AAACGGGGGGGGGGGGGGAAAAGCGGGCCCTTTTTTTTTTTGGGGGGGGAAACCCCCCCCCCCCCCCCCCCCCCCCCCCGTAAATGTCATCATCCGCACGCTCTACCGTGAGAGTTCCGCTTCCGCTCTGTCAAGAACTGCCTATGGTTCAGTCGAAAATAAGTTGGCACAAAGGATCCTAGATCGAAACGAGGATAGCGCTGCTGTTTTAGCGCAGAATACATAAATGATCGATTTAAGCATTGCAGCAGACCACATCATTCCGTCTATCCGTATAACAGGCGGCCTAGGAATGATAAAAGAACTGTATCTAGACCCATTGGATGATACAACCGGAAACAGGATACCTGTTGACCGGAAGCAGTTTAATGAAATGCTGGGTTTGACAGTGTTAAGCTTTTAGAGTGAGTACTCAAGGTAAAGCCTCTATCGACTTTTTGATACTATGATTGAAAGTCGTTTAATCTATTTGTTACGGTTGATTGATGTCTGAAACACTGTTCTCATTAGCTCTCATTGCAGACCTCTCTTAGTGCGTCTGAAAGGGCTCTCTAGCGTTCTAATAAATATTTTGGGGTACAAACGTATACGAATCATATTTTTGAATTTGTTGAAATAAAGTGGGGGTACATTTGTGGACACCCCACCACCCCACTGGTGCCGCCACTGATTTAGCCTATGTTTGGATTGTAGAATAAAGATTTGGTATACATTGTTGTATTTTTTCTTATTTTGATTGTGCTTGTCTGAGACGAATCTGTGATAACGAAAGCAACAAAGTAACACATACCAGGCCCGTAGAGTGACTTAATTGTCCGGTGGGGCAGTAATGGCCGGAATTGGTCGATTCTCAGAATTTTTTCAGGGCATTTCATTTTTTCGGAAGGGCATGCCCCCCTCCCCCACCCCTTCTCTTTTCCTCCTGTAGCAACGGACAGTACGCATACAGTAAGATACACATAAATATACGCGAAAACCTCTTTACAATTCGATCGAAATCCACGTTTCATTAAATTGACAAGCTGACAAGTGGCACAAACAAATACAAAATATCGGTAAACAAAATATAAGAATAGGAAATTTAACTGTGACAGTTTATTGACTTAGTTCCAGTCTATCCATAATTCCATTACCGGTTATTTCCCCTTTCCTTATAAAATGTTTCCTTTGCCATCAGAGTGTAACGCATCGTCAGTCGGGCGTTATGTTTCTTAAAGGGACTGAACCAGTTTAATGCATTAGGCACACTGAAATAAAATTTAGGAACAAAAGCCTATAACATGTTGAAATAATGGCGGTTAGTTCGCTTGACCATTCAGATGATCCAATTATGCGTGGGTTGAATCTGAATAAATACGTTGCAGGGCCAGGTATATGGCACCAGTGGCAACGGAAGAGAGTCCAACACTAGCTGTGTGAGCAACCGGTATTTAAAGCCCTTGGAAGAGGTCAATAGCCTACATGGATCAGTGTGGATTGTTATCTATAAATACGTTCAAGACACTAACTTTGAATAATATTTATCACTATTATTTAAAGCCTCTGTTGACTTGGGTCAAATCTCCTTAGCCTAGTCCTATTTGGGCTTCCATAAAAGTTTGTGTCATGCGCATTGACTTTGTTTATCCCCTTGACAAAAATGGCCACGAACAAAGATATCGAAGCGAACCGATTAGAGGTAAATACTTTTTTTCCATAAAATAACGCGCTGAAATACTGCCACTTTGTGCCAGATTGTTGCCTCCGAGTTTCTGTATTCAAGAAAATTTAAAATGTTAATAGACTCCTTTTTGATCTGAAATTATGAATGCATTTCGACAGCCAAAACTATTGCGAAATTAATAGGTCTGGGAATTTAGAAACATGTAATCAAAATGTCATCACTCAAGATGTGAATGTAGGTCTATTATAAGTCCAAAACAACTGCCTCTGTTTCAGCTTTTGATAGCTATTTTGACAGTTAGACTCTGTTGTTTAATGGGGATTTTCCACACCTGCGAAGGTGTGTTCTTTTTGTCATAATAGTTATACAGTGGTGTAACCTATTTTCGTGCATATAAGGATTCAACACCGAATTTCGTCAAAGTTAAAACAACTTCTCTTAGTATATATCTTTGATATCAATTCAAACTAATGACAATTCCTTCAAAGAACCACGATTTAAAAAAAAAATAGTCACTGACAAAATAAGATACGTAGCGTGATTTATTGCTAAAAGTCACAGAAACAACATAAGTATATGGCCCACTTTGTGTTCGATAGAAATTTTCTGCTGACACGGAATCCGCTAGTTGCTCACGTGACTTCATTCTTTGGACTACATTCTAGCAGACGACGCTTGGAATTCCGATTCTAACTAGGGATTATAAGGAAATTCGGCTGATAAAAAATGGTGACATTTGGTAATAACTGAAATCTGCCATTTTGTATTTGTCAAAGTATACATTAATACATTTTATCTTGCTTGAAACTAAGAATAAGACAATACAATGGATGATTTGTAACACCTTGGTTACTATTCAACAACTTCTATTATAACTATTTTTGTCTTTCAGCCATCATCTCCGGCACCGCCTTACTCTTCGGAACCACAACCTGGTGCCACAGCCATACCCCATCAAGATGTTGAACTACCTACATATCAACAGGCTTTACATGATCCTACAGGTTAGAGTTTGGGCATTTTAACTGATAGTTTTAAACAGGTTATAGTCAACTTAGCCCTGTGTCAAAATGGCCACAAAAGTCACAAAATGGGCCTAAACACCCAAAACAAAGTGGCCCTCTTGTCATTTTAAACTTTTCAACACATTCTCTTAATATATAATGTGATATTTGTATTCTAGGTCCCCCACCCTCCTATGATTCCTTATTTGGTCGTGTGAAAGAGGCTAAGGCCAAGTCAAGTGGAGTTTTGGATTTTTTGATGAAAGTCTTGGAGACGTTGGTCAGTACATGTAAGTATTAGTTTTTGTTTTTAAGATAAATTGGTGCTGGATATATAGTCCACTAAGATGGTGTCTTATAGGAGTAAGGGGATTTCCGCAGTCAGCACTGAAGCCTTAGACGCGAGTCTGGGTGTAGCCGACGCAGGTGCAGATATTCATGTGGTATACCTTGCCTGCAAGAGCAGTATCACAAATGCAGTAATTTGATTGGATTGTACACTAGTGAATACAGCCAATCAGGGCCGTTAATTAGTAGTCACACATGCAGTCGTATATTTTACAGACAGGCTTTGATGGGTACAATAGAAAAGATGTAAATTGGACAATGAACAATTTATTACAGAAAATACTGGTACACAAGATTTGCCAAATTACGGTAGTTATATCTGACAAATCCTATTAGTTAAACTTGAGTTAATTCTCTTTTGTGAGGTGAACTTTTAGCCTTTACTAGTCACTAAATACTAAATATAGTGGTGGTATTATTGTAGCTTGAGGCCAAACAACTTCATATTTTGTCCTGTTTATCCAATATCATACCATACTGTAATAATAAGTCTGAAACCAGAATGATTATGTAACAGCCAAATCAGATTAATTTTCTGTTTTTAGAATTCCATTAAGTTGTTCTAGTATGCCAAAATAGAAAGTTCCATTTTTGAGTGCATATAAACCATCATTAAAGAGATAGTAAAGAGGTTTTCTAAATTTTTATGTGCATTGGGAACAATGATAGCATCAATTCGCATCATTCCAATTTTTGTTAAGATGTCTGTTGGTACCTGTAATTGCACTAAAACTAAGTGTTTGATGATATCACCAATCGTGAAATATTCTTTAAGACATAAGGCCCTTTGTGATGAGTGACGTCATCAAACACTTAGTTTTAGTGGTATAGCAGGAACCACAGAAAATTTAGAAACTGCTTTACAATCCCTTTAATGTCCTTAAGGAAACTTCTTTAAACAAACATTCCTAACTCATGGCGAAGTGTAGACATGAGAATAAGTGCTACTTGTTCAATTTGACGCAGGCTGAAAATAGGTCAGTTGCCTGGAGATTGCGTAGCGTGAAATTCAGGAAAGATACAAATAATGTTTTACTATTTTTATATCATATATTACCTGTATTTATAATTACAGTGTGTTTCACTATATTATTGGGTATTATATTTGCTATACCAATTGCTATGATCTGTATGGGTAAGTAATACTTAATAACTAAATACTAAGTAGGTATTAAGGAGGGGGGGGTAGGGGGGGACTCGACACTGGGCTGACTTTCAAAAGCGCTGGACACTGGGCTGACTTTCAGAAGCACTGGATCAGGAATAAGAATTTTTTCTTACCTTATGGATGATTCAAACTCACGGAACCTAATTACCCAGCAGAAGGTATTAGACACCTGAACACCTGGAACTACTTTGTTACTACATGTATGTCTTTAAAATGGGACAAATAGAGTCCAAATAGCTAAATAATGTTTACTTGGTAGTAGTATTATAAGGATATAAGCCAATGTATATCAAGGAGAAGGGTCCAAACACTTAGTTTTAGAGGATTTGTAGGAACCACAGATGTCTGATTGAAAATTGGAACAGTGTAAATTATCAGTGTCCCTGCTACACACACAAAATTAAGAAGACCTCTTTCCATTCCCTTTAATGTCATCTTCCATTACTAATTATTACAGGTTCCATACATCTGGAAGATTGCCCCAGAGAAAGATTTATACCTATATACCTGATAGTAGCAGGAGCATTTGGCGCCTTCAGGAATCTAGTGAGTTTTGTTCCGAGGCTGTGTAAGTCTGATGATGAAGAAGAAACTCCACCCGAGGCCAAGAAAAAAGGCCAAAAATCTTTTCATCTGATTGATTGCTTTCTATTTGGATGGTTCATAGCTGGTAGGTTTTATTGGATACCTCTCCCTGTCTCAATAATGAAATAAATACAGTTTAGTATGCAATGAGGGAAATTTTGCAAGGAAAGCAACGTTACTTCCTGTTTTCATTTCCGACTGTCAAGTGATCTTTTAAGTGCACAGTCTGTAGCACACAGAGCCTCGGTTTATCCATCTGAATGACCAGACGCTTTTTTCACGTAGCCTATTTAGATCTGCATCACCAACAGGAGAAACAAGATTGAGAAATCTGAAGTTATTATTGGACCTATCGGGGTTGACTCAATCATTTACTTGTAGATTTCTACTATCAGAATCATCAGTTATACTTTTAATGTTTCGTTTCGAAACACCTGATGGTACTTCTCTGTAGAGGAATTTAAAACTACATGACTTTTACTCAAGATTTTAATTAATTGTCTTGCTTGTACATATTTTTATTCTTATAATGTTTGTATATTCCAGGCAATGTATGGATATATAGAGTATATAATGATTTTAATGCCACTGACCCCACCAGTAGTTACTATTGTGAACCCACATTGTATTACTTTGCCTTCTGGTTGACCACAGCAACCTACATCTTGATTGGCTCCATGTGCTTCTGTATTTGTTGTGGTAGCTGTCTAGCCTTCTGTTTTAGCTAAAGACAAGTTGGTACAGCTCAACTTAAATCTGTTTCAGCTAAAATCAGGCAACTTTTGATAATGTGTAAGTTTTTTATTTTCTCAGTGCAGGAATCCTTGAAATTTCAGTAATTTCTCTAAATATCGTACTTATTTCTGATTGGTCAGCTCACCTCATGAATATTACAAATTTCTAAAATATATGGCATGGTCACCATTGTATGAAAATGGTGTTTAAAAAAAAAAAGGATATTTCTAATTGGTCCACTCAATATGAATCAAAATTGACTCAGCTAGCTGGGTCTGCAATATTTTAAACAGAGTATTGGATGTGTGCAGAGTACATAATGTCGGCTGTAAATAGAGCTTTGGTCATGTGATGCACCCCTAATCATTTAATTGAACTCTTCCGCTCTTACATTTATTCAATTGATATGATCAAATTATAGTGTTCAAGTATGTCAGAATAGTTCATCTTCAGGGAAATTTCTGGGTTGTCTATAAAATTAAAAAGTTGTGAATTTAATGCATAATATAATTTTATTATATTGCTGTTGATTTTGTGTAATCTCATATTTATTTTGGTGAAAGATTAATAGGTCTGATTTATTTGCCTGATTGGATATAATTAATATTATTGTTCATCCAGGAAAGATTAAAAACTAAAATAGACTAGTCTACTTTATTTAGTAGTGAGAATATAGGAATAACAATTATATTTGTGATACTATTTATTCTAAAGTGAAACAATGACCAAATGAATAGTCCTATTGTTTTGCTGAAACAATGAGGAATGAAGCCAGGTTTAAAAAGTTTCAATCACTATTTTTTTACCTCAAAAAATTTTAGGCTGATTGTGTTTAATTCTGACAACAGATAATGTGTATCTTTTCAGTGGTTTCTTATCTTTCCATGATGTACATGTACGTTATATATTTTTGTCAGACTATAAAGGGTGAACATTATCATTTATTTCTGATTTTCTTTGCTTAAGTTCTGTGTAACTTGCTCAATGAAAGTAAATGCCAAGCCTAGATTGATGTGTATAAGGTTGTTTGTCTTCGTGTTGATGCAGTTGTGAATACAACCAGCCTGGTGTTAGAGAAAGCAGAACTGTTCGAAGCTTTATTTTATTCTACCAAATGAGTCTTGTAGTATCAGTAAGTAACTGTAGGCAGACAAATCTTTCAGTAAAATGAGTGGTATTAAAATGGACAACTACATCTTCAGGAGAGATACTGTTCTGGAGCCTTATTCTCCAAAACTTAACTTAAAAACTAATTTAGGAATTACAGTAATCTGATTGGATAACAAAACTATTTTTTAGTTTAATTTTAGTAATTGACCAATCAGATTACTGGAACACTAAAATCATCTTAAGTTTTCCAGAATAAGGCTCTTGGCTCAAAAGTTCTTCATATTTTGGAATGATTCTTGGTTTCAAAAAAACAAACAATTCCTATGAATATAGTCATATCCAGGCTTGGCTTCTACTTTCAGTTCTTCTAACAGTATTTTGGGAACAAAGTGATTTTTATTAACTATAATTTTTAATTGTTATTTATTTTGAGTGGCTAGTCGAACATAGATATTTGAGTTTATCAAGGGAGGTAATAGAAAATAAACACAACTGTTCACATGATGTTAGGTAGAATAATTATAAATTTTATATTGCTCACTCTACAAACCAACACAGCAATTTAAACTTGTCTTGCCTTCATTACCATTGAAACTATCAAAAAATAATGTGCTCATTAACAATGTCTTCACTATGTCTTACGAACTTCATCTTATACCTGGACTGCTATAGACACATTTCTTGTATTACAGAAATTAGTAAATGCTGCCATATGGTTGGATTGCGAATACAGCCAATGAGAGTGCTTGACAGAAAGAGTGTAAGTGGTAAGAATTATTGTTGATATATAGACTTTCTGTCAAGAGCTCTGATTGACTGTATTCACTAACATACAATCCAATCAAATCGCTGCTCTCTGTAATACAAGAATAGTGGCTATGCAGTCAAGGTATAAGTATGAAGTTTGTAATATCTGACATTGTGAAGATGACTTTGTTTATATTTTGAATCTTCCCTGGTTGTGTATAATTATCCTAACTTGATTTTATTGTACAAAATGTACTAAGCTTCCATATTTGTGATACAACCTGATATTAAAAGCTGGTTAATCCTCTCAGTATTAGCTTTATCAGCTAACAGAAATCCAAATTTCACTTCACACTTTATTTAGTATTAAATCCTTATAATTATCTTTGCTCTTTGTGAAGTATGATTTGAGGTATTCGTTGTTCCTAAACTGAAATTAGACAAAACTGGTAATATTTTTACACTTTAAGAAAGCCATTAGATATTTGATAGAAACAAATGAACCTCTTCCTCTCAGCCAGGCTGATAAAACTGTGTGATAATCAAATTTGGGTTTAGTAACATTTTGAAATCTGAGTTATTTAGGTTGTTTAAGTTTGAGTATATCATGAGATTAAATTAGATTTGCATGTTTTATGTTATTTGTTGTAAGATTATTTGCCATGGTAACAGTGATTATTAAGGTTGTATTGTTTAGTTAGTAATAATTTAATTAATCTTATAATTTTTTTTTCTTTTCTTCTTTTTTTTTTGATATTTTTTGTCTAAAATATAATCTGGCACGTTTTCTACTGAAGTTCTGTTCTTATGATGTTGCACCATTCCAAAAATCAATCAGACATGAGTGGTTCTTACAATTTGACTGAAACTTAGAGTTTTACGACATCACCATCACAAAGGGCTTTATATATGAGCAGTTTTTGCCATAGTGACGTCGTTAAAGACTTAGTTTTATTGGAATTGCAGGAACCACAGACGTCTGATCGAAAATTGGAATGATACAAATTGATGCTATCTATGTCCCCAATACACAAAAAAAATTAGAAGGCCTCTGTACAATCCCTTTCATTTATATATCTTTCTTTTCCCAAATGGCCAAACTCTGATATTTTAAATTTCCTCTCATGTCTACCTTCTTGATTTCTTTTCCTTGACTTTTAGTGTTGTTATATGATTTGATGTAATATTTGTGTTTGTTGTTTTATTTATTCCTTTTGTATATATTGTATATTATTAACTATACTGAATTAAAAAAAATTCTGAAATCTAGTCAGTCATCTGATAGGTCAAAAAAAAAACAAAATTCAAAATCAATTTCCAATTATTGACCAATCAGAGACTTGTTTCAAGAAAACGTAGCTTCTGATTGGTAAATGAGACAATCCTATTGCTGGTTGTTATCTTAAATCAACATTATGTTACGTTTTTATGAGAAACAAGTCCAGGGCCCTGTTCCACAAACAATTTTAAAATAAATTTTTGTTGTAAGTATGGTATTTCTCAATGTGAAATTCTAAACTTACAACAAATTATTATATCAAGATTTTTTGTGGCATGTTGCCCAGATTCTTTCGAAACCTCACATCTGTTTGTTCACTTTCAACATTTTCTATTGAATATTTATTTTTATCATCATTAAATATTGTCATAATAAAATACTTCTTATTTGTCTGTTACTTATTTCATTCATTCATGAAATTTTTGTTTTGGGCCTGAGAATACCAATGCATTAGAGAAACCAAAAGCCTTCATCAATTCATTTATTTTCATTATAATGTGTGATTACAGTATTTACAGTTTGAGTCAATAGTTCCAACAACAAATATTTTTATGCAGGAGCTAATGTTTGGAAAGTCAAAGCTTCAGTCTTATAGGATACACCACAGGAATCATCCTCTTCAAGTAAACATGATCAAGGTTGGTCATAGAGTAAGATGCTTGCCTGCTAACGTGAAGGTCCATGGTTCAATCCAGATGTGGGTCATTATAAAATATACCTTTGATTATTTTCCAATTGGTTTTCCTTCTGCCCATGACGCAGGTCAGAGAGGTTGACATGGGTCTTTTAGATGGGACAATAAATCACCTGTGTGCTACAGGCTGTGCCATGAATAGGTAAATTTTCCTAATTGTTTTTTAAGTCTTTGGACTACGAGTACAAATTTTCATTTTACATATTAACCTTAACATTCGTGAATATAGCTTTAACACTGTGCCAGTGCCTTCTGTTGGATAGTAACTTGTTACCTTTCAACCAAACTAATCCCTAATTGCACACTGCATGGCTTTAGCCTTATTTGCCCAATAAAGTGGATAAAATTGGTCAGAACACTTCATTTCCTTTCTTCAATACAACCTCCCCTTTAAATTAAAGTATCTGCATAAAATGTATCTTTTGATACGGCCTAAGAAAACACTAAGTCCTTTAAGAATGAATTAGATTTAAACCTAAATAGGCTATTTATGAAAAAAAAATAGCAAGTAAAGATATATGATAATTTATCATAATTAACTTTTTAATTGTTCTATAACTATATTCAAAAAACGTGACATGCAGTTGGTTAGTTTCATTGTTTACATTGATTACCTCCCTTAGTTGTAGTTTGATTTCCGGTTGTATAAATATTGATAAAATTATTAATATTTTAGCTCATTGAAGCAAAATTACCATATTGTAAGTGGCTGATTTCATATTTTATACCTACACTCGAAGCACTGTCCATATGATCGTAAATGGCAATGGTGACATGTATGTTTTTAAGCGTTTCTTAAATGTAAACAAAATTGGGCGGATACGTGGAAGAGAGCTGTCAAAAAATGTTGGTGTAAAAAATGAGGTACATCCAGACTGGGTGTAACCAAAGGCTGGTCTTATTTTGAAATGTATTCACACTAATATTTCGTAGATTGAATGATTTTAGAGAGAATAATTGGTCAAATAACTAGCTGTGGGCCAAGTTAAACTGCCTTCCACTGGTCACTGTAAGTGATAGGCCAGGGATCTACTGTGATTCCACAGGCACATGAAGCATCTGACTGTAGTTGTCACTGTATAGACCCTATCTTTCTATGCTTCAAGTGCATGTGAGGTGTTTGGCAGGATTTATGCAGTATATTAAAATGAAATGGGCTTACTTTGAAATAGTCAGTAGGCCTACTAGTGTTTTTATAGGGAATCAAGAAAGTATGATTGCTAAATAGCGACATTTCTTCAGCCCTGATTAATATCTTGATATTCTTCATCTTCACAATGTCAAGCTGTCACAAACTTTGTCTTATTTCAAATTCAAGCTAATTTGTATCTATACATTGACTGCAATTCACCTTTCTTGTATCATGGAAGTTTTTAATTAAAGCAATTAGATTGCATTATATGCTGGAGAATACAGCCAATCAGAGGTCTAAACAGAAAATCTGTAAACCCAAAGCCGTGATATTTACAGCCTTTCTGTCAAGGACTATGATTGTCCGTATTCACTTGCATGCAATCCAATAAAATCACTCCATTCCGTGATACTAGAATAGTGGTTATTGCAGTCAAGGTATTAGTACGAAGTTCTTAATAGCTTGACATTGTGAAGATGGATATATACAAGTTCTATTTACTGGTAGGCCTATCACATGTATAATAGTGATTTGATAGCAAATAGCCTTACAAACTTCATGTTATAAAAATATTCCTAAATTTACTTTCAGCTAGTAAAAGATGTTAAGGTGAGGTCTAAATTTTGAAAATATGGAACCTGAAAGTTATCAGCATAATCCATCAATACAAGATGGCGGCTCGCACTCATACACTCGCACTTCTTCAAGTTCTGATACAGCTAGCAATGGTCCCAGGCGTCATATGGATTCACCTCATATTATGAAGGAACGTGCCAATCGCTGGATGCAGAGTCAAGCCAATGCTGAGGAGTACTACCCACGAAGAACTGAGCAGGATGTTTCCTCCCCCTGGTCCTCACAACCAGTTTATTATGCAAGGTCAGATTGGGAACAACAAGCAGCTGCACGTCATAATTTTTCACCTTTTGAGATCCAATCTCATGAAAATTCTGGAGAACCTAAAGCTATGCCTCGTTTAGATCACATTCTACACCACTCACAGACCATTGATCTTCGTGTCCAAAGTGGGGAAGATCCCAAGGAGGCATCTGATACTGGAAGAAAAACAAACACACTTACCTCCCCTCATTCTCTGATAGATTGCAGGGTTCAGTCTAATTTATATAAAAACAGTCATCGTGATAGACACTCAAATGTTCCAGTAAATTGTAAGAAAAAGGCAGAGAATGGACCTGTAGACAAAAACAAAATCTCTAATGCATTGTGCCAATCATGTCAAGGCCCCTTGCGACGAAAAATGGTGGATAGTGAAACACAAACTGTACCTAATGAAGGAAATAATAAATCTGAAGTTCAGAAAGCTGATATTGGAATTCAAGTTATAGCTGAATCAGAAGATTCTGAAAGTCAAACTGAAGAACCAAGTGAACAATCACTGATAGATTCACCTTTAAATCGTTATTACCAAAATCAAAATCGACGAACTCTTTCCTTGAAGTTACGTCTGAAGAAAATAAAAGAATTGGAAGAAAAGGATGTTGAATATCTGCCGCATATTAAACGCTCACGATTGAACGCAATAAAGAAAGAGGCAGTGGCAGAGGAAGACACGCCTTCGAAGAGCACCCGTCAGAAATTTAATCCTGAAATTCATCCTGGAATATTTTCTCAAGAATTGTCCGATAGTTTTGATGAGGATGAAATAGTTGTAAACGAATTTGAAGATTCTGTCAATTCCGATTCTTATGATTCACCAGAATGGGACAGTAAACACCCAAAACGTAATAATAGACCCAAGAAAAAACGGAAATCACGTGCCAAGTTTCCTCCTAAACTGCCCCAACCAGACAGCCCTGAAAAAATAGCCCTGATGCTCAGAAAGCCTTTCAAGTGCCCCTTCTGTCACAAAAGATTTATTAAAGATTCGTCTCTGATGCATCACCAGTTAAACAGTTGTACTAAAAATCGTCTAGGAAACGACTTCATCTGCTCAGAGTGTGGCGACCATTTTGAAAAATTCAGTTTGTACAAAAAACATTTAAAGCTGCATACTGGAGAATTTTATAAGTGCACTTGTGACGCAAAGTTTGAAAATTATCCGAACTTAAAAGTTCATGTAGACTCTGAACACCCTGAGGGTGAAAGTCATGCTGAAATCCATCCATACTCTTGTGATATCTGTAGTAAGACTTTTATTTTTCAAGGGCGTTATAAACGCCATATGATAACACATGACAATAATTCCAAAATCGCTTGCACAATTTGTGGGAAAGAGTTTGAGAAGGCTTATATGGAAATCCATGAACGCTCTCACAGTGGTCTGAAACCATTTGTTTGTGAACACGAAGGCTGTGAGATGACCTACCCTTCAAAAAAATTACTCCAAAGACACGAACGGATCCATATGGAAGAATTTCGTCTACCTTGTACCTACTGTGAAAAAGTTTTCACACAGAAAAGCCGTCTAAAGGATCATCTTCGAGTTCATACTGGAGAGAAACCGTACATCTGTGAGACTTGTGGATCATGTTTCAGTCGCACCAATCATCTTCGCAGGCATCGTAGAATTCATGAAAAAAACGAGACACAGGAGTCGTCGAATGCACCTCCCAAACCTATAAGGAAGCCATCAGTGAAGAAACCAAAGACAGAAGCTGTCTTGCCTCCAGCCAAAGAATATACTTCATCTTATATGAACGCCAATCCAGAGAGAAGTTTCTCTAATATGCCTACCCCAAGCCATGACCGACCCTTTTCCACCCAGCCTATTGATAGACCTTACTCCAACCCCTCACTTGAACGTCCTTATTCTACCCCCTCTCAACATTCACAAGACAGGCCTTATCTCTCCTCTCCTCATGATCGTGCTTACATGGCTCAAACCCCTACCTTTCCTCAACGCTATAACGACCCATCTATTGTACAGTACAGTATGAATAGTGAGCTCCCTATGATTCCTAACCTACCCAATATGAATAGTATCTCTACCCTAGGCTACCCTCACTTACAGTCCTCCTGTATATTTAAAGAACCCTGATCAACAAACACTGCCTTCTCTCTACTAGAGGTGAGTTAATGGCCGTCTGACTAGATCTGTGATTTTGTAGCATTTCACAATTATGACCTAATTTAAAAGACATGTGCTTTGATAATGTATTGCACAAATATGCAGTTTTGATGTACAAGAATTTTTTTTAAATTTGAAAAACTGAAAGATTTATTTATATACATAATTATCAAGGAACTTGAACTATATTTATGGTACGGGCATGCTTGTTTTTTTTCATTATTCTCAGCTTGTCAGTAAAAATGGTCCCCAGTCCCCTAACTGCTTATTTTGAAATATTTTCTGTTTATTAATTGATTAGAAATAGGTTACTTCTGGTTTTAATTAGCAGATGTTATTTAAGCTAGATAAATATGCCTTTTAAGGTATCTGAAAGTTTTAACTTAAAAAACCTGTTGTTAATTTTTTAAGGCCAAAAATATTTGAAAACATTAAGTAAAGTTCATTATTCTTTGTGGATTCATTACTATGGTGTGACATTGAATATTTAATAGGTTGTAAGAAAATGTAATGTTTAGATCAAAGAATATATATGAATATACAATACAAAATCTTCTCACTGTTAAGAATTTACAATACATAAATGCGCACAGTTCACATCAATTGTTTCTGTATAATAATAATAATAATAATATGCCTTTTATAAGTCTATACATTTTTGTGGTGATATATAATATATAAATATGCTTGTTTTAATATTATTTTTATTAGAGCTTTAACAGTGTTCTTTCTTGTCTTTCAATGTACTGTGTCAGTAATAAATATATTTCAACTTTCAATAATCTGATAAAATGTGCTTTTAATGCAGTTTAAAGATGGAGTCAAATTAAGCAAACTATTAGATTAATTGGTGTTTCTAATGAATTATCATGTATTATTAATCATATCATTATGTCCTTATTGCATATAAAAGGAGATTTTAAACAATTATAAATGTCCATGTATATACAGTCTGGATAAACAAAAAAAAATACTTTTCGACCTTTCTTGATTGGCCACTGACTTGAATTCTGCTGGAAATTCTCTTCTAATTAAGCTAATTATGAATTAATTATGGGCATGTGAGACAAACTGGTATTTTTCCAAGTCATTAGAACACCTCTACTTTCTATTCATAAAAGTATTAGCATTTCCATTTTCATTAATGAAAATAAGGGAACCCATCTTTAATACACATGTCATCCATGATCTGAAGAGATCCGTCTGTCAATCATGTTCAATGGGAAATTGACCCAATATAAATAATCAGGAACATGAGATGCGTAACAATTTAGTTAGACTGGAATGAAGGTAGAGTTACCACAGGCAAAACGTTTAATCAGATTGAAAATTTGTGTTATAAAAGTGGTTTTGTGCTTCAGCCTAAATTAGGCATTGGTTTGGTCAAAAGCTTATCATATTTTTAGCTTATAATATTGTAATTTGCATCAGATAAGCTTGTAATATAATATGTTACATATTTTATATGTGTGATTAGATTGAGCTATAAATATGCAGTGATGTGCCTTTTACATGCATACTATATACAATATACATCTATATAGTCGTCCAGTTTACCAGATGATTGAACTAAATTTTCAATTAAGGGATTGTAAAGAGGTTTGTCTAACATTCTTATGTGTATCGGGGACATCAATTTGCACCATTCAAATTTACAATCAGATGTCTATGGTTCCTGCAATTGCTCTTAACAACCCATTTAACTGTTATTACTTACAGAATCAAACCATATATATATTTCATATACACTGTATATTGGTACATACTAAGGTATAATAAATAATAATTGAAATAACACATTTTAAGTCTAAAACTACAATAATAAAATATTTTAGCTGCGATACAGTTTCATTAAATCCTAGTGTAAAATGATATATAATGTTTCGGTCATGTGATTGTCAATCACCAATATTAATTTTAAGGCCTGCTGATATTAAAGCTTTGATAATAACCAATCAAATTAATGTATTTCTTAAAGTTTTGATATTTTTCTGTTGTTGTTAATTTTGTGGTCCAAGAGTTATGATATATTCAAGGGACAGGTGCACCATTTTTTTGTACCAATCGTACCTAGTCTCAGAAACATGAATTATTTAGCTAAGTCAATCAGTAATAGTGTTCTCAAGTCACCACTTTCAAAGTCATGGATGTCCAGAATTTTCTGTGTTTGAAAGTTAAACAGAAGAGTGTCTTTTTTCGTCTTTTTTGAGACGCTGCCAGATATAGAAAAGACATCTATAGAAATGGGAAAAGAAATTCCTAGTTAAGATATTCTTGAAGGAATTATGCGATTTTCGTACATTTCTATTTTATTATTTTAAAGACTATTTACATTCAAATCAACACACACCTGTCCCTTTTAATACTTGTTTATTTATATGTTTGCTCCAAATTGTCCTTATGTGCACAAATACCTTGATAAATGTAGATTATATTATTATTATATTATAATTATGTAATATTGAATTATGATATTATTATTATTGTTATTTATACTGTCATTTGAATTTTTTATTGATTTATGTGTTGCATAATATAACAATATATTATTTATTCTTCCATTTAAACCCAGTAGAGCCATGTTGGGAGTCCTGTTGGCTCAGTGAGTTAGATATAACTGAAGGTCCAGGGTTCAATTCCGAGATAATACCATCGCATTTCCAAGTCTGTTTCCCCCTGACAGTTGAAAATCAAAAAAGAGCAGGCTAATGCCGCTGTCCTGGCCAATTTCCCTCATTGCATCCTGCATGATGTTGTCCATCTTCATTAGCCCACATGGTGCTGAAAAGTCTGACGTAAAACTCCATTCATTTCATTTCATTAAAGCCATGTCAACTGGCATATAAACCTTCAGGAACGTCAGAAAATTAGACTGACATTCTAATTGTAGTTGAAAGAATCACATTGTATATCAGGCAGACAGATTGTCCTGATCCTTTGTCAAACCTCTTGAGATTGATCATTCCTGGATTTTACCTACCAATTTACAGTTGGGTGGAATTATGAGTGAAGATGACTTATTTAAGGTCATCAGACTTTCACATACTGATCAAAATCGGAACCAACAACCTCTTGATCATGCCTGGATTATCCCTACCAATTTACAGTTGGGTCGACCTGAATTATGAATGAAATCACTTATTCAAGGTTATCCTCGACACGTGGATTGAGATGTGCGTACAAAGTTTAGTTTAGGGGTATGACAACTCCAAGAGAGTTTGGAAACAAGGTAATAAGATCTGTTGAACTACTGATAATATCACAGCTGTCAATTTATATTCATATAAAATATGTGAGTGAACTTAAAAGAATATCAATATTAATTAATAATAAAATATAAAATTAGATATCATACATAGATGTGGGACAATGTTATTCAATTACTATGCAAATTACAATTATTCATTAAGATAATTTATTTGTTATAATATAGACCAGGGCTGTTGATTTGGACGTATTTGCCAGACATTTGTGTCTAAAATGTCCAGTGAAAAGTAGCCTAGAGTAGTGTCTTGTCACCCACAATATATCATTTATTGGGAAAACAATAATAAACAGCTCTGTTATATATTAATATTATAATTTATTTATCAAGATATATCAATTGATTCTACATAGGAAGACATTTTAGGTTTTTTCTCCTGTATAGTTGTATAAGGTGTCATACTCTGAACTGACATCATGTTTGGTTTCATTGCCACTTCATCCCACAGTTTATTCTCTCCTTTATGATTTTGTTTCTTCATGTGATAATTCAGGCCTTGACTTGATGAAAATAATTTACTACACACATCACATTTATAAGGTTTCGTTCCTAAATGAGATCTTAGATGAACTTTTAAATTGTCTTTACGATTGAAAGGTTTATTACAATGATTACAGATGAAAGAACGGATATTATTATGAATGTTGACATGATCCTGAAGTTTCGCTTTTTGGGTGAAAAATTTGTCACATTTTTCACAATGAAAACGTTTGATATTAGTATGTGTCCAAAAATGTGTTTTGAGACAACTCTTATGTGCAGTCGCATAATCACAAGACGTACATTTAAAAGGTTTTTCTGCAGTATGTATCTTCATATGCACTTGTAAATTGCGTCTGAGTTTGAATTTCACATGACACTTCTCACATGAGAACGGTTTGACCTCTGAATGCACAGTTTTTGAATGCATCTGCATTAAATGTTCAGTTTTAAACCTCATAGAACAATCTGGACATTGGACAGGTCTGTCTGAATTATGAGTTAACTGATGATCTCTCAAATTACATTTAACTGTAAATGTTTTACTACAAACATCACATTGAAAGGGTTTCTCTCCTGAATGACTTCGCACATGTACCTTCATTGAACTCTTTAGAACAAATTTTCCACATTCATTGCATTTTACAGTTTTAGGGTCAGGTATGACTTTCAAAGGGGAATAACTGTCTTTTATTAGAGAACTTTCTGAATAATCATTATCTTCAGTTGTAAGATTGGTAACTTTTATCCCTTCATCAGGAAAATTGTTGGATTTCTCTGAGGCCTCCAGATCGACTGAATCCAAAGTATGGTCTTCCTGAAAAGCATCCAGAGAGTTTTTACTGGAGTTGGTGTTTGAATCAGTTTCAAATAAATCCTCATACAGCATCAATTTTTCTAATTTGTGATCGAACGACGAAGATTTCTCTTCAAATGATGAAATTTGTTTGTTGTTAATAAAATCCTGGATAGATTCATTTATGTCATATTCAAAACTATGACTTTCTTCTTGAATTTCGTTCTTTCTAAGTTGACTGTCCATTTTATCTTTAATACATTTCACATCTGATAAATGGTAGCCTAAAATAAAGTTAACATGTGATAGTTAAATTAATTACAGAATTACAAAGCTAATGGTAGTGCCTACCAATGTAAAAAAGCTTTACAGATTTTACGAACTGATAAAATTCAAATGAATTACTAGGGACGACTGTCAGAAACACTGACTGTAGGTAAGAAGTTTTTTTATTACTTAAAGGGATTGTAAAGAAGATTTCCTAGAGTTTCAAAGTAAGATCAAATTTATTATCTATTTCTAACATATACAGAATGGGGGATTTCAGTTATTACCAAATGTCACCATATTTAATCGACCAAATTTCCTAATAATGTGGGCCATATTCTTGTGTTTTTAGCAATAAATCACTCTTACGTTTTATCTTATCTTATTTTGACAGTCACTATTTTTATTTTAATCATTGTTCTTTGAAGGAATTGTCGATAGTTATAATGAAATATTATTAAAGGTAAATACTAAAAAAAGATAATTATGTGTTTTTCTTGACTTATTTATAGATCAAACATTGTACTCAAAAATAGGTGACGCATTTTGCAGTGAAACAAACCAATTTTAATTATTTCATAGAATATCTGAAGAAACATCTAAGACAGTTTTTGCACTGAAACAAATCAGCAGTTGCATTCAACATGTGAATATTCAGCTTTATGTTCTAGAAATCGATTTTTCATTAGCGTATTCGCATAATTTACATTATAAACAATTAATCATACCTTTCAAACTCCTGTACAGGAAATGTAAACAAACCTTAGAGAGGGAGATAACTCCTGTTTATCTTTAACAATATAGTATGCATGTCACATTTTGGATTAATTTCAATATATAACTATGAAACATCTGCCTCTATTTCAGCCTCTGAGAGCTATTAACTAAGCTAATAGTTAATAGCTGTGCAGAATGAAATTGAGCCAGATGTTCGGACTACACATGGCTAATTATTCTCAGTAGCCAGTTTTTGAGCTAATGAAAACGGCCAACTCGATGTAGTGTGCAATAAGGGAAATTTGCCAGGAGAGCAGCATTGGCTTTCTCTTTCTTTGCTTTTGACTGAAAAGTAGTTAAAATATATCACAGTCCCTTTTCTGAAAGTGTAGGCTACAAACATCCCCATTTGTCAAACTTGTCAAAACCTGCATGTGGAATACGATGGCTACAAAGCTAAATAGGTTATTTTTATGTTCTCAATAAAATAAGCCCTTGCAAAATTAGAGCAATCGTCATTTTGCATTATTAGTCCAATCAGTCCAAGTAACTAATTAGAACAAATTAGGTTCATTGGACTATAAGGATGAAGGGCAAAATACAATACAAAGCAACAATTTACTAAATTATTTTAATAATGAAATAACACAGACAACAAATGTAACCATTATTTTGATCATGCCTCTTAGATTCCTCCGAAGAAAAATTTCATTTCATTGGAACATTCATACATTTACAATAACAACAAATATCTTCCATACCTTACAAAAACTATAAATATATTATGTACAATACAATTAAAAACTAATTCATAGAGATAATTTTGACAATTATATTTGATTATGACAATGTAAATTGTTGAAACAAAAAAAAAACAGGAGTACATGTGTTTACTATTATATTGTGTTCTGTTATTTAATGTGATCTCTTCCACTTTATGTCTCAATCGGCTTCAATGATCGAGTTTGTCAACCTGCATCTCTTACAGGGTTCAGTGCATTTATCTGTATAGCAATCCGTTGGTTCTTAACATGATGTCATTTGCTTGGTAGAAAGGATACTTGAAGTTGCTATTCTGTAAAATATAGTTGTTTCCTTTCTTTCTTATTTATCCTGTAAACACAACTATTCATTATTTAGAAGATTATCCTGGATTAAGTTATTCAAATATCAAATAAAAGTTATATTCTATAATGTCAATGATACAAAAATAAGAAAACTCTGTAAGATCCCTTAAATAGGGACATGATAAGTCCTTTAACCCTTTCAACACTACCGACCAATAAATAAAGCAATATTAACCCTAGCAGCCAGCTGTTACAAAAAAGCCCACTTTACATTAATGTCATACATTGCCATTTTAACATATTAACCTTAACATTCGTGAACTTTAACTTTAACCCTGTGTCAGTGCCTTCTGTTGGATAGTAACTTGTTACCTTTCAACCACCCTAATCTCTAAACTTTAAGTTATATTACTACTCAGTGTTCAAAGGGTTAATATCAAAATCTGTTCAAACTTTCCAAACCAACAACAATAGTTTTTCTGTGTTTCTGATCAAAATCACTATGATCACTTTCCTGCATTTCAACATCCACCTTGACCTCCTTCACTTCATGACAGCGTTGGTGAGCGATTAGACCTGCCTTCTGAGTAAAGGACTTATCACAAACTTCACAAGTAAAAGGTTTCTCTTGAGTATGAGTTCTAGTATGAGCAGTTAATGTCCCTCTTTGGGAGAAACTTCGGCCACATTCAATACAAACAAATGGCTTCTCCCCACTGTGTGTTCGCTCATGACTTCTCAAACTTCCAATTTGAGAGAAACGTTTGAAACAAGTTAGACATTCATACGGTTGTTGACCATTATGGGTTCGTAGATGTTGATTTAAACCAGTTTTCTGAATAAAGCTTTTACCACATTCTGTACATTGATATGGTTTATCACCAGTATGTATTCTCAAGTGAGTTTGCAGGGATCCGATTTGGCTGAATTGTTTCCCACATTCGCTACATACATGAGGTTTGTAGCCTGAATGTATTCGCATGTGTAGGCACAAACTACCTTTATTTTTGAAGAGTTTATCACAGAATTCGCAAGCGAAACTAACTTGTTCAGATTCTGTTCCAACTGCAGTCGTGATTTTTCTGGGTTTTCTTTTCCTTCTCTGAGATCGTGCAGTAATTTCAGCTATTTCTTCTTCAATTGTTTGGAGGCTGGTTGCCAAATGGTCATTTGCGACGACGAATCCCAGCTTCAAATCATCATCACTGTCATCTAAAGCATCACTCTTCAAGCCTCTTGTGATTCTTTTGGTTGTCATAGCAGATTTCTTATTGAATGGACACAGCAATCAGCTTTTAACTCCTGAAATAGTGCAAGATAAGGTCTAGTACAATCAAACTTTAATAAGTAACATTGTGAAGTATACATTAGTCAATCACAGTGAATTCTGAACAAAGTTAATTGCAAATATGACTTGATCCCTGGCATTTATTTATTGACATAGCTACAGGGTTATCAGGACTAAGCCTCACCATTTTATATGAGAGCGCAGCTCTCTCGACGGCTTTGCGATGCTCTCTATAATGGTAACACATACATATACATCAATTCGTTTCAGAAATATGCCCCACGGGTAGTCAAAAAAAAGTGAGAAAAAAGATGGCAGATCATGGGGGCCGCCATGTTTGTTGACAATTAGATCGCAGTCATTCGGGGTAGTTTCGGAGTGAATATTCTGAAATTCTTTCAATAAATTAAGAAAATTGTTTCAAACACAGAAAGGGATTTTTTGTACCAACTTAACAACCCTTACGTTTTATTTTTATTTTTCCTGGATATTCTATGCGTCATAAGGAATAAAATGACAGCTTTGACCTAATTTCCCAAGACTTTCTCCCAAGCAATGATGGCTTTGTTGACATCATACGTCACGTTATAGATGATTACTTTCACACCTTAAAGAAGTTTCTCTAGATACCTTATTTTATAAAAGATAGTCTACAGAATTTCGTTTATGCGATTATTATTAATTATTGTTATTTTATCAATAACCTGCGCTCTCATTCAAGGCCATGCCTTCATTCATATTAACTATACAATACTAATTACTAAATATATGTTCAATTTCTTAAATGCCTATTTCCAACATGAATTGCCCAATTAACAAGGAAGTAGGCCTACTGGACTGAAATGTGAAAACTGAAAGTGAAAGAGTAAACTGGAATAAGTCTACGCGATCGTTCCTGTTTCCATCATCGTAAGAAGCACATATTCACCTACTGTATGTCTACTTTGAGACTCTAAAATAAAAGCTGCAATATCCAGAGAGCAAGTAAGCTAAGGAAAAGATAAAATGATTAAAAAAAATTATCATTATTATTCTCCGGAACCGGAATGTGTAAATGGAGGTGATATTTGTCCTCTACCAGATCGCCCACACTTATGCGTCAATTCGCCCGTAATTCACTGTCCAAAGCAAAAATTATACTCAGTTTGCTACATAACTATTGCTTGATTACAGCACGAGATACCCGAACACAAATGCAAATCGTATTAGATCTAAATTGAAACACCTTACTTTCTTAAAAAAAAACTAAAACCGTATTTTCGAATCATTGTATTAATCCGAATTGGCATCCGACCGTTTTGCGAATGCTTTTTCCGGTTACACTTTTAAAGAATTTTTTTTACAACTTTTGAATTTTTTTTATTTTGTCTTTTTTGTTAAAATTCGTGGCTCTTGGTATATTTCTGAAGATCTATGAATAAAGACAATCTATACAGAGATGGGTTGTGTTTCTTGATGCCGACATTGGTGCTGTTTGGCGAAAGAGGTGTGTATAAACTGTATTTCTGCCTGTCAATCTTTGTCGGCTTTGTTTCAATGTTTGGTTGTTCTGTAATAATTATGGGTTTATTTCACTGATTTCGAATTCAGTTATTATAACGACTGCACAACCGATTACTAACCTGTTTCAAATTTTATCTAGTATCGTTTTATTTTGGATATAAAAGGCCATTTGGGACTAAAATTGAAGCCCAAGTGGATACATTATAAACCCTTGACTTGTTCAAAACTTAGGAAACTGGTGGTAGTATCCTTCAAGGTTTCCATCAAATACTGAAGAGATATCTGAGAGGGGTTTTTCTTGGCAGTAAAGGTTGTAACTCTGTACACGAACATGACTTTAAGTTAATTATGGGTGAGGGTATACCATGGACAATATGATTTTCAAAAGGGGTAAAAATAGCCCAGAAGATTTGGAACTGAGTCATTTGAAATTGAATTGCCCTTGACTCATAAACTTACCTTACTTTTATTGTTTTACACTATACCGGTACTGTGTTTTAAGGTGCATTACATTTTATTTGCAGAAAATCAGACAAAAGACCCTCATCTCTAATCAACTTCACTTTTGTAAAACATAGTGCAATTAATTCCAAAATTCAAAATGGCTAAACATGCAAAAATGGCAAAATCAGCTAATGAACCAGAAAAAACAGCTGATGAATCAGTACCAACAGCTGATGAACCAGAAAAAACAGCTGATGAACCAGAAAAAACAGCTGATGAGCCTGAAAAAACAGCTGATGAGCCAGAAAAAACAGCCGATGAGCCAGGAAAAACAGCTAAATCTTATTATGCAGATCCGAAGATTTACAAATACCCTTGTGATCTATGTGAGAGAAGATTTCTAATGAAAAGGTTACTGAATATGCACAAACTTGTGACTCATAAACAGAAAACTGTACAACAACATGTCTGTGAAATATGTGAAAAAGTGTTTTTATCAAAAAGTAATTTGATAAAGCATGTTAGAATTCACACTGGAGAGAAACCCCACAAGTGTGATCTGTGTGGTGCCTCCTTTCCTCAATTATCAGCTTTGAATGTTCATCTTAAAAGACACACTGGAGATAGACGTTATAAATGTGATGATTGTGGTAAGAAGTTTACTCTCAACAGTGGTTTAAAAGCTCACATGATGATTCATACTGGAGAGAAACCATTCAAATGTGATGTTTGTGATAAATCGTTTAGGCAGAAAGTTGCTTTGAAAACACACTCGTATACCCATTGTGATGACAAACCCTTTAAATGTAATGTATGTGATAAATCATTTTCTCAAATAGCTAACCTTACAGCCCATAAAAGAACGCATACTGGAGAGAAACCTTTTGAATGTCATGTTTGTAATAAATCTTTTAATCAGTTGGGAAACCTTCAAAATCATTTAAGAATTCATAAAAAGAAGAAAGATTTTAATTGTGATGTATGCAATAAAAAATTCAGACAGAAAGGGCACTTGAAATTGCACATGAGTAAATATCACTAGAGCTTGGAATATCAGTCTGTTGTTATAATGATTGGCTATTGAAAGATAACATGTGTATGATTAACATATGATTTTGATATTTCAAAAATGATTCCTAAAATGTGTCAATATTTTACAGTATTCTTACAGTAGCGTTATATTTGATATTAATCTTATTTTAAAAGTTATCAATTATGAAAGTGAATTAATCAAAATATTTCTGGTATTTGTGTGAATCAGAAATGTTTTTACCTGTAATTTACAAAAAAATCTTGCTAAGATTATGAGATCTCTTTCACAAATACCATTTGACTTGAATGCTAACAGTAGAAGCCCCAAGTGTCCCTGATACACATACATATAAAGTCTTGTATATCAGAATGGTGTAAATCAAAGCTATAAGTGTCTCTGATACACATACAAAGATAAGAAAATCAGAATGGTGTAAATCAAAGCAGTAAGTGTTTCTGATGATACACATACATTGGTTAGAAAATCTCAAAAGATTTAAGGCTGTCTTTTGCAGTCTCTGAAACAGAATGATCAGTGTAATAATTATTGCTTAGTTTTGTGTGTGTGAAAGGGGCATTATTTCATGTTTTGGGTATATGCATATTTGTTGAATACTTGATTGTTTTATATGAATTATATTAGCTTTAATGTTTTATATTTATGTGCGTATTGCTGTTTTACTAATTTACTATATTTTTGTTTGTTATATAAGTTCATTATGAGTTCTTTTTTACAAAAAAAGATTTTAATGATGCTGGAGAATTGTTGGTAAAGAGGTTTTCAAAATTATAAGATATATACAACCTTGTTTTGTAATACAATTACACTCAAAGTAATATACTAACACAGGGTTCGCACAGCCTTGAAAAACCCTTGAATTCCGTCCGTTGCCTTGAAAAACCTTGATTAACCTTGATTTCAAAAAAAGTCTTTGAAAACACCATAAAAACCCTTTTTCTCTTGAAAGGTCCTTGAATTTTGAGTTGAGTCAAATTGTGTATATTTTTATCATGAACCCCATTGACAAATATTAACTATCTTTATTGATTTCACAGTGTGTATTCTGTCAGACTAATATCCTTGAAAAGTCCTTGAATTTCAAAGCCCAGAGTCCTTGAAAAGTCTTTGAATTTTTGAGGCAAAGTGCTGTATTAACCCTGTTACACCTTTAATTTGGGTTGAAATAATTTGAAAATTTTATGATAAATTTGTCAATCAGATATGATGACCTATGTGTTTTGTATATGCATGGTCAGTTGTCTGATAATCACAGTGTCTGAAACCTTGAGTAACATTATGTTTCAAGTTATGTTTTAATATTACTATATTGCTCTACAATTGATGTATTGAGTACCGGTACTATTTCAACAGTGGTATTTCTATATTGCTCTATAATTGATGTATGCATTATTTTAACAGTTGCATAACAGTGAGAATATTATGCTGTTCTATATACCTTATTCAACGAAAACTGAATCAAGTATATGTTTTTGGTTTTTAAATAATTGAAAATCCTACACCTTCTACATCTCATTGTGCTTAGGGTTGTGCATTGACCCTTGAAAAGGGACCAGAGAGGCTAGTATTGATGTTCTGACAAGCTTCCACACATGTTTCACATTCTTAAGTTAATTTTCTTGGTGGAAGAATGCTCAATTTTGAATGTACTGTTTTATATTTAATGAAATAAACTGTACTAAAGATACACCCGCGTTTAAAGTCTGTTGAATGTATGGTGGATGAGGGACAGGAATTTCTGAGCAATCTTCTGTCTATTGCATACAAGGTTATCTCCCTTGTATTGATTCTAAAACGGAATCCTTTTGGCTGCATGTATGCTTTGTCTAGAGTTCCCTAGTTTCCAAACATTTGCCTTCCTCTTTCCCAAAATTAAAACGGATTCCATTTGGCTGCAGGTATGCAAATGTTTTGGCCCCCTCTACCCCTTAACTTTGTCTGGGAGTTCATGGTTCCTCCTCTATATCCTATCTCGTAACTTTGTCAAAGAGCACCTGGTTACTTGAATTTTGGCCTCTTCTACCCCGTAACTTTGTCTGGGGCCCCAGGTTCTCAACCTTTTGGCCTTTTTCCAAATGCGGTGCCAGTCTTCCGACACTGGTGTTACAAATAGGGTGCAGCCTGACTTAATGGGGGGACAACTAAGGCTGAATTCAAATTTTGGTTACTCTGTGGTGGTGTCATAGTCGCAAGCCTCTCATAGAGCGTCTTAAAGGGTTCTCTCAAGAAAAAATTAATTGATTTTGTGCATTCTGACACATATTTTGGAGGCAAAAGGTAGACGTTTAGATTTGTTGAAAATAAAGTGGAGGTGCAAACCACTTTTCTAGGGAGGGCAAATGCCCACTCCCTCACCCCTGTTACCCCACTGGCGCCGCCACTACCGAATTCCAAACGGTTTGGCCTCTTCTACCGATACCTTTGTCTAGGGGGGCCTGGTTCAAAACCTTTTGGTCTCTTTTACCCCGTACCTTTGTCTTCAGTTCTTTCAGACATCCAACTTTTGGAAGAAGAATAATCATACGTAGTAGGATCGAGAGAGAGCAAATCATGGTGGAGTGGTTGGGGGAGTCTTGGTTGACATTGTGAAGATGCCATAGGAAGGATGGGGTAGGGTGGGGTCCAACCTGTCTCTGTGTCTACATTCATGTTAATCGAAAAAAAGGAAGATTGATCATTATGTTCAATATTTATTGTTATATAATAATCTTTCATTCAAACATTCAGAGCTCACTTCCTGTTGGCACTCGTACAAATAACAATATGGTCGACCACAAACACAAACAAACAAAAAACGAAGACAGACGCGATAGACGACGTAACTATAATCACGAAAAGTTCCCAATAAAAGTTTTAAAAAGTAAAATTTAGCTCTACACTTCCCCCAAAATTTTAAAAATGGTGTAAAACAGTTCAGTTTCAACGTAGTGTTAAAATAATGAAAAGCCTATTTTCTATTGTCAAAAGAAGTTCAGACTGTTACAGCCACCATAAAAGTAAATATTGTCAATCTACAATATCAATAAGAATTTTCTTTCATAGGTAAATATAGAATTGATGACGCCATCAAACCCTAAATTTCAAATTAGTAGCGATCAAAGGGGTACCAGTAGTTTAAATGTTTGCTTTATCAGCTGATAGAGCTCATTTTTAGCCATCCATACCACTGTTCAAAATTATTACCCAGCGAAGAGATCTATACAAAAGTACCCCTTACTGTTCTGTTGTCACTTCCAGGGCGTTATGATATTCATGTACATTTATTACAAATGTTATGACATCATCAGTAATTATTGCAAGCGAGAACGTCAGTATCGCCCTGGAATTGACGACCATCTACATTGGTGCTGCACGCTACTGTCTTATTAAAGGAGTACCGGAAATCTGATTATAGTTCTGAAAAGTAATTTGGATAGCTGAAAGTGGTTACTGTCAGATTCTATGCCTACATAACTGTCGTAGATCAAAATATCAAATTTCAGAAAGCTGAAAGTGAACTGTTCAGGGCACCATTATCGTAAATAAATTGTTTTTAAACACCAAGGCAATTTGTTTCCAACTTTCGGGACTGAAAATACGAATAAGGATGCTGACTTTGTGACCCTAGCAGATACTAAAATGACAGTGATAATACGCGCCACTTCAGGGTAATTGGCAACACAAATCATGCAAAGCCAATGCGCAATAGAATCTCAGAATGTCTGAACGAATTTTCTTTGAAACAAGTTACAACTACTTCGTTAAAACAGAATTTGATTCAGCATTTTCTTTGAAGATTTCAAATTTTGAAAGATTAGATTTTAAAACTTCATGGGAATTAAGTTGATAAAGACATTAAGATCTATATACACATTATGGCCGTAATAAACTAAAAATAAGACTAAAACAAACAGACATAGCACTATAGAAAGGAAAGCTCAGGCGCATATCAAGTATGTACAAAGTATAAAAATAGTAATTCAGATAGCTGTATCGAGCTCGGAGATCCATAATATCCAACCAAAGCCCATACAAAATACTTTTCGGTAAGGTTCGTGTAGAAGGCACTTTGTTTTGCTCTACGTGGTAGTTTAATGTCCATAGGTCAAAGGTTAAGTTGTGGTCTGTTTCCTATTCAGCAATTTGTTGTTCCATTGGTGGTGGTATACAATCTGCAACGTTTTTTGCTGGTTTTGTTGTTTGTTCAGGAGATGGTTCATTTGTTCCGTTTTGTTGGGGATTTATGGTCGTCGTCGTTTCTTGATTTCCTGAAACAGTGCTTGACTCTATGGATGGTGTTTCTGATGGAGTCTCAACTGGCTTTTCTGCTGGAGCCACTGCTGGTTTTTCTACTGGTGCCTCTAATGGCTGGTCTGCTGGGGCTTCAACTGGTTGTTCTTCTGGAGCTCCATCTGGTTTTTCTGCTGGAGCTTCAACTGGTTGTTCAACTGAAGTCTCAGCTGGTTGTTCTTCTGGAGCGTCAGCTGGTTGCTCTTCTGAAACTTCTGCTTGTTGTTCTGTTGATGCTTCAGCTGGTTTTTCCATTGGAGCCTCAGCTGGTTGAACTTCTGGTGCAACAACGGGCTCATTTGCTAGAGCCTCGGTAGGCTGTTCTGCTGGGGCTTCAGCAGGCTGTTCTGCTGGGGCCTCAGCAGGCTGTTCTGCTAGGGCCTCAGCAGGCTGTTCAGCCGGAGCTTCAGCTGGCTTTTCTACTGGAGCTAATGCTGGTTGTTCTTCTGGTGACTCCGATAGTGTTTCTGCGCCAGGTTTCTCTGACTTTTCTGTCGAGGCAACTGTTGGCTGTTCTGCCGAGACCGAGGCTGGCTGTTCTGCCAGATCTTCACCTGGTTTTTCTTCTGGGGATTCAGCTGGTTGTACTGTTGGATTTTCAGTTGTTTGTTCTTGTGAGACCTCTGCTTTTGGAGCTTCAGCCGACTTTTCTATTGACTGTTCTGCTGTGTCCTCAACTGGTTGTTCTGCTGGGGCCTCAAGTGGTTGTTCGGATGGTGCTTCAGCTGGCCTTTCTGTCGGAGCCACAGTTGGATTTTCTGTTGGAGTCTCAGTCGTTTGTTCTACTAGAATTTCTGCTGGCTTTTCTGCTGGAGCCTCGCTTGGTTGTACTACTGAAGCTTCGGTTGGTTGTTCAACTGAAGCCTCAGCAGGCTGCTCCACTGGAGCCTCAGTTGGTTGTTCTGCTAGAGTCGCATCTGGTTGCTCAACCGAAGCCTCCCTTGGCTGTTCTACTGAAGTCTCAATTGGTTGTTCTTCTGAAGCCTCAGCTGGTGGTTCTTTTGGAGCTTCCGCATGTTGTTCTTCTGGAGCTTCCGCATGTTGTTCTTCTGGAGCTTCAGCTGGCTTTTCTGCTAATGCCACAGCTGATTGATCGGCTGGAGCTTCAGCTGGCTTTTCTGCTGGAGGCAAATCTGGCTGTTCTGCTGGAGCTTCAGCCGGTTGTTCAGCTGGAACTTCAGCAGGCTGTTCTGCTAGAACTTCAGCAGGCTGTTCTGCTGGAACTTCAGCAGGTTGTTCTGCTGGAACTTCAGCAGGCTGTTCTGCTGGAACTTCAGCAGGCTGTTCTGCTGAAACTTCAGCAGGCTGTTCTGCTGGAACTTCAGCAGGCTGTTCTGCTGGAACTTCAGCAGACTGTTCAGCTGGAACTTCAGCAGGCTGTTCTGCTGGAACTTCAGCAGGCTGTTCTGCTGGAACTTCAGCAGGCTGTTCTGCTGGAACTTCAGCAGACTGTTCAGCTGGAACTTCAGCAGGCTGTTCTGCTGGAACTTCAGCAGGCTGTTCTGCTGGAACTTCAGACGGTTGTTCTGCTGGAACTTCAGACGGTTGGTCTACTGGAACGTCTGCTTGTTGTTCTGCTGGAGCCTCGGTTGGGTTTTCTGTTGAAGCCACAGCCGGTTGTCCAGCTACATCCACAATTGAAGCTTCAGCTAGGTGCTCTTCTGGAGCTTCAATTGGCTTTTCCTCTGAAGCTTCAGTTGGCTGTTCTACAGTTGATGGAGCTTCGGCTGGCTTTTCTGCTGGAGCCTCAGCTGGCTTTTCTGCTGGAGTCTCAACTGGTTGTTCTCCAGAAACCTCAGAGAGCATTTCAGTCGGAGTTTCTTCTGGCTTTTCTGCCTGAGCTACAGCTGATTGTTCGACTAGAGCCTCTTCTTGTTGTTCTACTGGAGCTTCAGCTGGCTTGTCTGTTGAAACAACAGTAGGCGGTTCTTCTGGAGCTTCAGCTGACTTTTCTGCGGAAGCCTCAGCTGGTTGTTCCGATGAAGCTTCGACTGGCGGTTCTGCTGGGGCCTCAGCTGTTTTTTCTACTGGAGCCTCGGATGGTTGTTCAGGTGAAGCCTCAGCTGGTTTTTCTGCGGAAGAGTCGAATTGTTGTACTTCTGAAGGTACAATTGGTTGTTCAGCAGAAGCTTCCGCTGGAGGTTCTGCTGAAGCCTCAGCTTGTTTCTCTACTGGAGCCTCGGCTGCTTGTTCAGGTGAAGCCTCAGCTGGTTTTTCCGCGGAAGACTCGGATGGTTGTACCTCAGAAGCCACAGCTGGTTGTACAGCTGGAGTGGCAGCTGGTTGTTCTGCTGGAGTCTCAACTGGTTTTTCTACTGAAGCCTCGGTTGGTAGTTCAGGTGAAGCCTCGGCTTCTTGTTCAGCTGATTTTTCTGCTGGAGCCTCAGCTGGTTGTTCTGCTGGAGCTTCGGCTGGTTGTTCTTCTGGAGCCTCAGCTGGTTGTTCTGCTGGAACTTCGGTTGGTTGTTCTGCTAGAGCCTCAGCTGGTTTTTCTGCTAGAGCCTCGGCTGGATGTTCTGCTAAAGACACAGATGGTTGTTCTGCTGGAGCTTCTGTTTGTTGTTCTAATGGAGCTTCAGTCGTTTTCTCTGGAGCCACAGTTGGTTGTTCTACTACAGCTTCAGTTGGATTTTCTCCTGAAGCAATATTTGGTTGTACTGCTGGAGTTTCAGATGGATTTTCTGCTGAAGCTGAAGCTGGTTGTTCTTCTGTTGGGGACTCAACTGGCTGTCCTACTGGGTCTTCTTTAAGTTGTTCCTCTGCTGTCAAAGCTGGTTCTGATGGAGTTTCAGTTGGATTTTCTGCTGGAGCTTCAGCTGATTTTTCCAATGTAGTCTGAACTTGTTGTTCTTCTGGAGCATCTACAGGTTGTTCTCCTGGAGCTTCAGCTGGTTTTGATTCTGGAGCTTCCACTGGATTTCCTGATGTAGCTTCAGTTAAAGATTCTGTTGGAGTAACTGGTTGTTCTCTCGAAGCCTCTTCAGCTTTTGGAACCTCGGCTTGTTCTCCAGTTTCAACTGGTTCTTCTGAGGGAGCTTCAGTTGGCTCTTCTCCTGGCGCGTCAGTTGTTTTTTCTGCGGTTGGCTGTTCTGCAGGAGAATCCACTGGCTGTTCAGTCGGAGTCTCAACTGCCGTTTCTGCTTCAGCCTCCGCTGCCTTTTCAATTGGTTGTTCTGTTAATGCATCTGTTGGTTGTTCTGCTGGATCCTCAGCTTGCTGTTCCGATGAATCCTTAGTCAATTGCTCCAGCGGTACCACAACTGGAACAACATCATTTTGGTTCTTTTCTGCGTTGTTAGATTCATCCACAGCCTCTGTTGGCTGTTCTGCTTCAAGAGTTTCAGCTGGTTTTTCTGTCGGTTCTACTGTTGAGGCCTCAACTGGTTTTTCTGTTGGAGCCTCGGCTGGTTGTTCTACTGGAGCCTCGGCTGGTTGTTCTTCCAAAGCCTCAGTTGGTTGTTCAGCTGGAGACTCAGTTGGCTGATCTGATGAAGCATTAACTGGTTCTTCTGCTAGAGCATGAACTGGTTGTTCTGTTGGAGCCTCAGCTGGTTGTTCTGCTATTGAGGCTGCGGATGGTTTGTCCGCTGAAGGCTCACTTGGTTGCTCTGATGAAGCCTCAGTCGGTTGTTCTGCTGGAGCTTCAACTGATTGTCCTTCTGATGGAGCTTCAGATGGTTTTTCTGTTGGGACCTCGGCCGGTTGTTCAGCTCCAGCCTCAGATTGTTGTTTTACTTGAGCTTCAGTTGGCTTCTCTGCTGTTGAAATCTCAGCTGGAGCCTCAGTTGGTTGTTGTGCTGAAGCGTCAGCTGGTTGTTCTGCTGGAACGTTGGCTGGACTTTCTGATGGAGCTTCAGTTGGCTTTTCTGCTGGAGCCTCAGTTGGTTGTTCTGCTGTGGGTGCCTTGTCTGGTTGTTCCGCCGATTCTGCCACTGTTACGACTTTTTGTTCTAACGTAGCGGGTGTTTTTTGAGCTTGATCTGCATCAGGGGCGGATTCTTCTACAACAGGCTGATTTTCGACCTCAGTACTCTCACTGACTTCAGACACTATTGGTTCTTCTTTCGGTTCGGGAGTCGACTCAATGGTCTGATGAATGGATGTATCCAGCGGTTGTTGTACTGCTGCCATTTGGACCTCGGGTTCAATTGGTTCTTTGACTAAAGTTTGAGACTGTCTTTCTTCGGCTTCACGATTTAAGAGATCGGGAGTGCTGGAAGGTTTATCTGCTTCACCTTTTGGTGCAGGTGGAATGGCTGATAGGGATTGTGATGCTGAGGATACCACGACTTTTTCGTTGGCTGGTAATGGATCTGGATCTGAAACGATACAAGAAAGAATTATAAATTTTCAGTTAACAACAATAATACCCTTTTTCGTCTGACTCATCTGAATACATAACACGTTTTCATTTTGGATTCATTCGGAAATTTGATATCAAGGACAATAACCAGATTGAAACATCTGCCTCTATTCAAGTCTGCCCAGTGGATTACTGTCAAAATATCCAAGAGACTAGAATAAACACAGACTTGATATTTCTACTTCAAGGAAAAACCTTAATTTGGTTAATCATCGGTTAATTGTCAGACAAAAAGGGATGCAACATAAAAGACAACATACACCCACACTGCGGATCATAGCAAAATATAAGTGGTGAATTGAAACTTTGTGGGTGAGGCAAAAGTGGTAGACTCGGACAAAAATGAAGCAAACTTTGGTGCTTGTTTTAAGAAACATCGTAATTCTAAGATAATCGTAAACGTTCAGTACTAAAAGAAATTTGATTGGTTGATATCATTGCAGTGATAATATTAACCAATCAGATCTCTTGAACTACACAAGATCTTTCCGACAACAGACTAATCCAAGTAACATAAAAATGATTGGTATTTTAAGTTGACAAGCCTGAGTACTTGTTGATAATTGTTTAAACGATTTATTGTCGTCCTCCCCTTGTTCTCCTAGTACTTTAAGCTTTTATTTCATAGGGTTAAGTAGGTTTAACATAATTTCTGTGGTTGATGTCACTAGATAGAGCGTGGCAACCCTTCTGGGACACTTGGCGCCACTAGTTTCATCAAAGCCAGTACCCTCTTCACAATGTCAAGCAATACCTTGACTGCAATAGCCACTATTCTTGAAAAACGGAGTGCAGTGATTTGATTAGAATGTGCGCCAGCAAATACAGCCAATCAGAGCCCTCGAAAGAAAGGCTTCAAACTGTTTCGCTAGCCTACAATCCAATCAAATCATTTACAAACATACATGATACAAGAAAGGTAGATGTAGTCAAGATTAGACCGGGACATATGTCTCTATTTCGGACTCTGATAGCTATTTGGATAGATGTCAGCTGGTGTAGACCGAAACATCTGTCTCTATTCCAGCCTCTGATAGCTATTTGGACAGATGTCAGCTGGTGTAGACCGAAACATCTCTCTCTGTTCCAGCCTCTGGTAGCTATTTAGACAGATGTCAGTTGGTGTAGAGACAGAAATAACAAGCCACGTAAATGGGGATATTCCGCAACTCCGAAGGTGTGGGGTTTTGATAACCTATTTAGATACCTCTGATCTGCTAAACCCAGGTATATTTGGAAAGATGAATATTTTTGTAGTTCAATCATACCATCATTTTCTCCCTACACCTTTTATGTCATGTCTCCGATACCATTAAAGTTTTTTTTTTGGCGAAACTGATCTAGCATCGGCCATATAAAACTGCGTGCACAGCCAAAAGTTCAAAGGTCACAGAGTCGCCATATGCTAACAAAACGAGAGTTACAGTGATGCCCAACACTGGTTTACAATCATCATAAAGAATTCAATATTATGTTAGAGTAAACGCATCTTTGTTGGCGTAGAAAACCCTCATTTAACAGGGTCTTTTTCGTCTGACTCTACTCCACCTGACAAAATATCCATCATAGTTTGGAATAGAGGCATAGGTTTCGGACTAAGCCAAGATATAAGTACGGAGTTTGTAATAGCTTAACATTGTGAAGCAAAGCATAGATATCTTTCTATTTGTAGCACTAAGTTATGAACCAGTTTTATCAAAGAACCAATCGTATTCAGGTTAACAAGAACCAGACAAAAAGTATTTGAACCAAAACAATTTGTTGGAGATAAAAAAAGATATATGAAATGAATGGGCAGAAGATCAGCCTGGCTCATATTCTAATAGATAATGGTGGGTAAAAATAGTCCTAACAAATGTCAAATAATTGTGTATTACGTCATTGATTTTGTGTACTTTAGGAGAATATGTCTATCCAAGGATTCCAGACGTTCGACCATCTGGTCTCTGATGATATTTTAAAACTACGTACATTACAGTATGCTGCTTCTCTGACTTGTTTATTTCTGATCGAAAAGATCAGTAAAGTCGGTCAGAAGAGACAGTTCACACTGATCATTATTAAAGGAAGATTGGTGTCCATACCTAACCTCCTTCTACACTTCAAAATAAAGAACATTGTTTCTATCCGATTTGAATTATGACCAGTACTAATCTAGCTACAGTGTCCCGGTTGATATTTTACCAACTCAATGATTTTGTACTGAAATCGGAATTTTTTAAAAAAAAAACGAAAGAAGAAATTTCTGTAAGTTGGCCAAAAACGTTCAAAGTCAGAGCATTTCGCATTACTAGCAACTGATACAGGTTATCAAAAATCGGAACATTTCGGATTACTAAAAGAAATCTGTTTGAATGTCATTGATATAAATTCTGAATAATCAAAGTCAGAACATACCCAAACAAATTTTGAGTGAAATACTAACAAATACACACAAAAAATG